TGAAAACATACTCAAGGATGCTCTTAAATGGGTAACGCTGGGAAAATGAAGTATATGTGTTTATCAATAAACAATTGCCATCTCTTTTCTAGTGTTTTAAGACTGATTTTCAAGCTTAATTGATACTGTCATTAGCTTTGGCCACTGAATCAATTCTATCCCCCCAAATGATCTCTCCTTCAAAAACAAAGCAGATACAGGCATTATAAATATTCAAATGAAGTGTGGCTTTCACAGTGATTTAGGATGATTTCGCAAAGAGGTAGTTGTATAGCACAGTACTCAGACTTTCATGCTTTTTTTTTCACTTTTATCTTATACAGTATCTTCAAAACTAAGAATTATCTCCTTGGATGGAATCTTTGAGAGGAAACTTTCTAACTACTGTATTTAACTTATGGACTGGGCCTATCTGGCTGTTATGGAAATCAATGACAAAAGCAAACATATTAAAAACTATTCTGGATATTGTTAGTTTCTCCAGCACCTGCCACTTCACCGTGTATCACCTCTACACATAACCCTGACTACCAATCTCTCTCTATGGGTGAAATAGAAACAACAGTGTCCAAAAAGGTCAATTATGGCCTCTCCCACATACCGTAGGCATTGTACATCTTGGGTCCCAGATCAGGCCTTACAAAGTAGCTGGGTAGCCTAGAGGCCAGATTGAGCCTGCCATCCCGTTTGGTATACTCTGGCAGGGGAAGGTTCTCCATTAGATCTTCAAACCTACAAAAGAGGATGAAAGATGACTTAGCTTGTTAGAGGGTAGGGGAAGAAAAGAGGCAGAGTTCACTTTTCTGTGATTACTTTGTAATGGCTTCAGCAAGGCACAGGTCTCTCAAGATGACCTTCACTAACCTTGTTGGCATCATGTCCCGAAAATCTTCCCCAGGAGGCCAGTCCTTGAGTTTGAGCACCATTGGCTGCCCATCTTCAGACCTCAATCGCTCTGGAAGACAGAAAGCACTCCTACTAACATCTGCTGGGTTGGCTGCTGTCTGAATCTCCAGTGACTAAAAGGTTTAGAGGACTAAGCTCTTACTTTCAGACTTGTAAACCCCCCTAATGGACTAGGTGGGCTTTGTTTTCCTCAGCCACTGCTTTAGTACATACCACATTTTTCCATCTCGAACTGAAAGTGCTCCACACATCTTGTGTGATCATGTGCTTAAGTCCAGGTGTGCTCTAGGAGCCATGTGATTGCCAAGTGACCGACCTGGCTAGCACCAGGATGGAACATTTCTCCCACCAAGAGGAGGTAACTTGTCATTTCTGGGGTAGGGCTGGGCATATAGATGCTTACTTTCTAGTATGCCATTACTAAACCAGATATCAAAGCTACTTACTGCAAATGATCTCAAAGCCATCCCAGAAATCCCGGACTTTCACATCAGAAATTATAGCACAGTTCCTGCAGTTCACCAAGTCCACATCCTGGTCTCCAAATTCCTGGCTAAAGGCTTCTGGCTTCCAGAGTTCAGACTTGAGCTTTTTATGCACCCCTGAAACCAGCACTGGCTGTGGAAACAAAAATATCTCTATCAAAGCCATTTAAGAAATACGTTTAGCTCAGGGCTAAGGGAGAGAATAGGAGGGTTTTCTGTGGACAGCCTCTTCTTCTCCATGACGATTTACTGTTCCCTCCCAGTTTCAGAATCTATGGATTTCAACATGTCAGCTACAGCAAATGGAAACTACTACTCCATTACTATACTTGATTCTCACTGCAGGGAGTCGGGGAGAACCCTCAAGAAATCACTTCTGTTGCTCTGGTATCTATCACTGTTTTGAGGTGAGAGGATGAAAAAGTGACAAATGCAACTCTGAGAATATGTCCTTGCACCTAGAATGAAAAATTGTCCAGACAATTCCATAATCTCCCCCTTCCTCAAGTATCTGCTAAAGTATAAAAACCAGGAAGTGCTATTACACTATCACACAGACTTGTGTGGCCTTACAACATTTACCTAGCAAAGTACCACCCACTTGCAGCCACCTTTGCCTCACTCCATATCACACTTTAGGATTTTCCTCTAAAGGTGTTATTAATGCCAGATCACAACCTCACAGGAATTTTATTTTAACTGCCCTTTTAAGAACACAGAGCCACACAGCTGAAAATAAAAGGATCCACTATGTATTTTTAGGAACCTTCTGATTTTTAAAAATCCAAGAAAACTCGAAGTAGGAACAAACTTACTATATGTCTAAATCTCCTTGGCAAAAAATCTCCCAGAGAGAATTGAAACTACCCCGGTAGCTATGGTGGGTAGGCACACAGGTGACTCTGCGAACTGCTTATTCTTGCTCACCTGGCCTTGCTTCCAACACTCCCGGAAGATCTTCCAATTGTTTTTGTTGCTGGGGTCATGGAGACACAGAAGTCTTCCATCACAGAGCCAGGAGTGAGAGGTGTGGGGGTCTAGCACATTTAACCCCATCACCATCTCCTTCACCTCCTTTTGGGTATCAGTCAAGTTACAGGCACGCTTTGCAGCATCTGAGGTTTTCTTATTTTCTACCACTGAGGCAATGATGTGATCAAGAAAGTTGGGTAGGCTGGCCTTGTTCTTCACTCCCTGCCAGACACAAATCCATAAGGTTAGTATGACTGAGACACCACAAAAAGCACATTCAAAAAGATATCTCTCACGTTTGTATACACAAGTTCTGATCTACCTGATTAAATTTCATAAAATTTACATAAAGGTCTTTTGTAGTTGAAGGGGAGAATCTATTAAAGTCTATATTTTATAATTCTCTATCCTTCATATTTTGCTTTATATTTATGAAAGAGAAGCACAGAAAGATTCCCTGTGCCACAAGAGATTTGAGACCTAAGAAATATCTTTGGTATTCAGCCCTGTTTTAAGCATATGCCTTCAGACTGCAGGGTTCACAAAATGCTGGAACTGAGTGGAAAAGAACATTTACTTTGAGGGTTATGAGTTTTTTCTGGCCAGCATGCCCATGGGATATAATACTTCAGTTAAGTAACTGACTTATCAAGGCAGTGATTTTTTTTTTAAACCAGGGTGTGGACCCCAATAGAGGTCTGTACCAGAGTATGCAAGAAAACTATATATTCTCAATGTAGTCACCAACTCCTCAGTTCTTCCCCTACCAAGAATCTCTCATCTTTTTCAGCTGGTGGGAAAGCTCAGGCCCAAAGATGAAGGTGACGTACCTAATGTCACAGAACTGAAGGAAGGGGAGGGCTTTTGTAAACTTAATAACCCAATGCCTGAAGTATCACTAATCATTATCTCTATAGAGTACATGTAATCATATAACATCCCAGGAAAATTAAAAAAGAAAAAGGATAACTGGGAGTTGGAACAAGTACAAATAAAACAGAGCTCAGAGTAATTTTTTTTAAACTTATTTATCTAAAAGAGAAACAAATAACCCACATTGTATAGGGCTCAACCACCCACAGTTCATCAAATTTCAGTTATCACTCATAAAATAGAATGAGAATGTTTATGTACTTGTTTGAAATCATCTCTGAGATATATTAACTGAAAACAGAAAAGCAATGTGTAAAAACATTTGTGTAAAAAAGGGGGAAAAAACTATATACATATGTTAATATCACTGAAAGGACACTCATGAAACAGTGGTCATCTACTGAAAGGAAGGCAATAGTGGGAAAGCGACTTTTCACTATAGCTTTTAAATTTTGTACCTTATTAATTTATTCGTTCAGTAAGTGCTTACTAAATATGAATGAAACACTGTGGCACTAGGACTATAGTGGTGAATGAAACAGACAAAAATGCCTTCAATTGGAGGTGAAACAGACAATAAACAAAATATACAGAAAGTCAGATGGTAATTAGTGCCATGGAAAAAATAAGTGCAGAGGAAGCAGATGTGAGTGGAAGATGGGAATGATATGGACTTTTAAAAAGGGTGATCTAAGAAGGCTTACTGAAGAGGTGACATTTCAGGAGGGAAGAAAGGAAGCTGATGATGAAGCAAGCCATGTGGTGGCATGAGAAAGAGTTGTAGATGGAGGAAAGGACAAGTGCAAAGATTCTGTAGAGGGAGAGTGCCTGGCCATATTCAAAGAACAGCAAGACGGTGGATATGGCCAGAACAGAGCGGACAAGTGGGAGAGTGGTAGTTAAGGCCAGGGAAGTGAGGGGAAGTTAGGGCTAGAACCTTATAGCCCACTGAAAGGACTCTGCTTATATTATGAAATAGGAAGCCCTTGAAGGATTTCAGGCAGAGGTGACATGATCTGACTTATATCTTAAAAAGGGTGACTCTAGCTGCTGTGTTGAAACTAGACTATAGAGTAGAAAGGGAAGAAATAAAGAGGACCTGTAAGGAGTTTACTGGAAAAATTCAGGCAAGAGAGGATGTTAATTCAAACCAGAGAGAAGGCAGTGGAGGTGATGAGAAATGCGTGGACTCTAAATACATTTTGAAGATCAAACTGAAAGGATCTGCTAACGGATTAGATATGAAAATGTGAGAAAAGGGAGTCCCAAATGACTCCAAGACTTTTGGCCTAGGAACTGGAAGCCACTGATTGAGAGGCAAACTAAAGGAGGAGCAGGATAACAGGCAGATCAGGAGTGTGGTCTCAGATGTATTAAGTTTGAGGCATCTTTTAGATATCCAAGAGAATATGAATGTACTGCTCTGGTTACAAGAAAAAAATTTTTAATGTCTGTTACTGTCAAGAAGATAAATTTCTGCTGATGACAAAAAAATTTCAACATCTCAATTTCTACTGACTTCCTAACATGGCACAAAAGGTTTGCTACTTAAAATGATCTCAAACATTTCCAAAATTTAATATAAAGGAAGATCTCGTCAGCTGGACAGATAATGTAGAGAACACAAATCACCCACATACTCTCTAAACCATCTCTAATGGTTCCTTCATGGAAAAGCAGCAAAGGCTAGAGTTGTAGAGAGGACACTTACTGCTGAGGATGTAGAGAAGACCGGGGGGAAGGGTATGCCTGTGTCCAAGGGGGTTTGAGGAAGCTTTCCGGGCCCGGAGTGAAGGAGGTCTCGAAGGCTAGAGCCTTCGGTTTTGTTGTTGGAGGCAGTGGGACCCAGTAACAGACTGTTAAAAAGCTTTGGAGTCAACGGAGAGACCTTTGCAGTGGAGTTGAATGAGTCCAGCCCAAAGGGTGAATGAGACTCTTTACTGAGCACCGACCTCAGGGACCCTGCTTCTGTAAGAACATAACCGGGAACAGCATTAGGCACAAAAAGGAATAAATACCTAGCAGGCAACTGACTCCTAAAAATAAGCCAAGTAGGAAGGAGTAAAGACTCTCCCCTCCCCTGCCCCCCAAACTACGTACGGTTTGTCTGGGCCAAGCCTGACGAGCTATGACTATGGCAGGTCTCATGGCCAAGGAGAAGCTCTCCTACTTCTTCCTTTCTTTTCCAGATCTGGATTTCAAACTTCCTTTTGTTCCCATCCATCTTTCGTCTCCCTCACTTTCTAAGAGAGTGTTTCTTCAAGTGGGTCTCCAGAATACTTGTATTGGAATCACCTGGAGTGCTTGTTAAAAATGGAGATTCTTGGTCTTACTCTGAGAGATTCTCTCATTTAATATTTCTGGGGTGGGGGGGAGGGCACAGGAATCTGCATTTTTAACAATCCCCCAGGTGATTCTTGTGCCCATTGAAAAACAAATCTAGCCCTTAATCCTGGCTGAGTAACAGAACCATCTGGGAGGCTTGTTAAAAATCTTAATATCAATTCTGACTAAAGAGGTCTGGGGTAGAGCCCAGGCACCTATGTGCCTTTTTTAAAAAAGCTCCACTTCTAGAAAGAAGTTGAAAGAGATTCCCTCATTTTACGTGGTCAGCCAGAGAAAGCAAGTAGCATGTTTCATAAATGTGGATGGTAATGTGTTAGTCTGAAGAATCCCAGAATAACTCAAGTGTTCCACCCACAGGCAGGGAAGAGGCTTGTGTTAATCTCACCTTTTGTTTCTTCCTTAGCCTTCTGAGTTGCTAAATCCGCCAACCAGTGCAGGGCAGAGGAGGGTGGGGCTGTGTCAGGGCAAGGGGGCCTGATGGCTTTTAGCTCACTATTGCTATTTGACGTTGAACTGTCTGCTTTCAGAGGCTCATCAGATCTGATGTCAGTGCTGTTGGCTTTGGGAACATGGTCGGTCTCTGGTGGTGTTACCGATGCAGTTCCTCCTCCACCTGAGAAGGTGGTTTCACTTCCAGAAGAGGCACTAGGGTTTATGCTAGGAAGCTAAAGCACAGAAAGCCAACATGATTAAAGTGCTGTCCTTGTGCAGAAAAAAACATAATGCAAATAGTAATGGCTGCTGACACTAAATAGGTCTGGGAAAATAATTTGAAACTGTCCCGTAAACTGCTATCTCATTCATTCATTCATTTAACATATTTACTGAGTCCTACAACGTGACAGTTTCTCTGGGAAGAGCAGTGAACAAGACTTGAAAATAAAACAGGGTTTTTGTTTAGCATGCCTGAGGCTCAGTTTCTGCAATGGCAAATTGGTGATTATAACTTGACCACATAGAGCGGTTCTGAGGATTAAATGAGATAGTATATGCAAAGAGCTCAGCACAGGGTCTGGCATACAAAAATGCTCAATAAAATGTTTATTATTCTATTATTGAATTTTCTAGATGGTTTGCTCTAATATGTCAACTCTACTGAAAATATATCTTGATAACTCTCAGCATTAATTCTTTTTTTTTCAAATTGAAGTATAGGCAGTTACAATGTGTCAATTTCTGGTGTACAACATAAAATTTCAGTCATACCTATAAATACATATATTCGTTTTCATATTCTTTTTAGCCATAAGTTACTACAAGATATTGAATATACTTCCCTGTTCAGCATTATTTCTTGTATATCTTATTGATCATGTGTTAGTGGCATTCCTGAAAAGCCATCTAAATGTAAGCAGTGTGTGTGGTTTTTATTTTCTTAAAATAGCCTCTTATTCAAAATAGTTACCATCAAACCGGAATGACCTCCACCTCTGACAGAGCAAGAGAAAAACCACTGCCTCTCTCTGGAGGCTCTGGATTGCTTTCAGGGTAGAATGATTCCAGATCAGCAGACCAATAGTCACATTTTTGTCCTCAGTACCTAATACGACATGGCAGGGACCATGCACACAGACAGGACTATATTCCTTGTGACTGTTTCTATACTCTTCACCTACTCAAGGATTCTGAGGTATAAATCTTGACATAATGCAAATACTCTGTGCTATTTATCAGCCAAGCCAGAATTGGTTTTGAGGACGAATGAAGAGAAAGTCATTCCAGTCAGGGAATTTAAATCCCCTGAATAACGTCTGGGGCTCTCTCTAGACAGGATTCCCTATCCCCTAAATCTGTAGGAGTCCTACAGCAGCCTGGGACAGTGGAGATGAAAATGGGACATTTCCTAGTCCTAAGAACTTAAGATTCTCTCAGTTGTTCCTGTACACACTACTTTACCTGTGACATCCCGTTAGTGACAGCAGGTCTCAACACAGATTTGTTCTGCCGGCTAATACAAGGGCAGTTTGCTTTTATTCCCCATTTGCCCCGGGCAGCATGTACCATATCTCCAATATTGTAAAGAGCTGAAAAAAGATAATAATAATAACAGTTAACCTTAGATTGCTTGAATGTGCCAGGTATTGTGCTAAAGACCTTATTTATATTATCTCCCTCAAGCCTTACCACATTTCAACGAAGTAGCCGCTTTTACACTCAATTTTTGACAATGAAACTGAAACTCAGAGGAGTGAGGTTATTTGCTTAAGTACATAAAGTTGGTAAATGAAAGTACTGAGACTTTAACCAAGGTATATCTAGCACTAAAGTTCTGTGCACTTGTAACCACTAAGCTACATTCCCTCCCTCCTTTAGTAAACATTAACAAGGTGTCCTCCAGCCAAAACTGTAGGGGAAGATTCCTTAATAGTTCAGCATGTCAACATTTTGAATTGTATACTTGAGATTCATGTACATTATTGTAAGTTATACCTCAAAAAAAATACACCAATATAAACTTCACACAAACATTTAACTAATGCTTAGATCAGCAGGGAGCAGGCATCTAACCACTGCACTCAGGGAGCTCTTCTGCTTGAAAGCACTGGGGTATAAAGGATCCAGGGGGTACCTCCCCAAAGTGGAGGAGAATATGGGCAGTAGATTCACCAACTTCAATGTGTGTATGTTAATGGAAGTATGAAGCTGGAAACAGACTTTCTGGAGGAATCACTAAAGTAAGCTACTGTTAAGCTGCCTTCTTCATGGATTCAAGAGGTTTGATTAGCTTTAGCTGGATTTTTACAAGCCTAAAACCAAAGGTCTTTCTAGAAGTGAGGGGACTGGCTTTTTCTATTCTGCCAACTATAGGAATGTAAAATGACATCTGAAAAGCAACCAACCTCTTCCACTAGAAAGGTGAGGCAAAGTGTGTGCACTAGCTGCATACAATCTAACATTTCTAAAGATTCAAATTCTCAGAGAAATCTGATGAGGCTTAAAAAAAGTCAGGCTGAGATAAACCATTTCACCAAATTTTATGGTAAATTATAGCTCAATTAAACCCCCCCCCAACAAATCGAAAAAAAGTAATTCCCTTACCTGTGCCAGGGATGATCTGTGTGGGCATAAGATTCTCTGGTTCATGGGACTGCCCCTTTGCACACTTCAACCAGGAGAAGACTTCTTCATCACCCATCTCTTCTGTCTCTAAAACAGGAATGAAATGACTTCACTTATTTTATAAGGGTCACAAGAGATGTATCCTCACTGAGTCATAGTTTCAGACTCTAAAGGCCAATTTTCTCATGGGTCAAAGAAGATAACAGCTAACACTTAAAAATGCTGCTTCACTGAGGTATAATTCACATAAAATTAATACAACAATTTAAAAGTGTACACTTCAGTGAATTTCGACAAATGGAGTTGTAGAACATTATCACAATCATGACATTGAACATTTCCACCCCCCACCTGAAGTTCCCTTCAGCCCTTTGCAGTCAATATCCTTTCTTCAAACCCTGGCCACCAATGATAAACTTTCTAATACTTAGAAAACTGCGTTTTCTAGAATTTCATATAATTGGAAGCATATAGTATGTCACTTGTGTGGGCTTTTCTGATTTAGCATAATGATTTTGAGATTTATCCATATGATTGCATTATCAGTAATTCATTCCTTTTTATGGCTGAGAGCTATTCCATATTATAGATGTACCACATTTTGTTCACCCATTCATCAGGTAGTGAATGGTTGGACTATTTCCAATTATTGGCTATTTTTTAAACTTTTTTTTTTTATGGAGTTATAGTCAGTTTACAACATTGTGTCAATTTCCAGTGTAGAGCACAATTTTTCAGTTATATATGAACATATATATATTCATTGTCACATTCTTTTTTGCTGTGAGCTACCACAAGATCTTGCATATATTTCCCTGTGCTATACAGTATAATCTTGTTTATCTATTCTACATATGCCTGTCAGTATCTACAAATTTTGAACTCCCAGTCTGTCCCTTCCCACCCACCTCCCCTCTGGCAACCACAAGTTTGTATTCTGTATCTATAAGTCTGTCCAATTATTGCCTATTATGATAAAGCTGCTACAAACGTTCAAGTACAAGCCTTTGCGTGGACATGTTTTCATTTCTTTTGTAAATACCTAGAAATGGGATGCTGGGTCATATGTTAAGTTTATGTTTACATTTATAAGAAATGGCCATACTGTTTTCCAAAGTGATGGTACCAATCTGCATTCCTACCACCAATGATTAATAAGTTTTAGTTGCTCCATGCCCTTGACAACACTTGGTACTGTCAGTTTTAAAACTTTTAGCTATCCTAGTGAGGACAGTGGTTGTGAGGATAGTTCTGAGTAATGACAGTTTTTTCCCATCTGTTTATTTTCCATTGACCTACCTTCTTTAATGAAGTACCTGTTCAAATGTTTTGCCCATTTAAAAACTTGATCATTTGTCTTGTTATTGAGTTTAAGAGGTGTTTATTATGGATATAAGTCCTTCAGCAAATATGTGATCAGCAAATCTTTCTCCCAGTCTGTGGCTTGTCTTTTCATTTACCTAATATATTTTGAAAAGCAGTTTTTAAATCTGATTTCTTTTGCTTTTTGTGTCTTATCTAAGAAATATTTATCTAACCCAAGGACACAAAGATCTCCTAATTTTTTTCTAGAGGGTTAGAGTTTTAATTTTTATGTTTAGGTCTATGATTTACTAGAGTTATTTGTTTATAATATGAATAAAAACAGAAGTTCATTTGATTTATTTGAATACGGATATACAGTAATTCCAGTACCCTTCGCTGAAAGGACTATATTTCCCCATTCAATTATCTTATCTTGGCACTTTTGTCAACTAATCAGTTAACTGTTTATGAGTGGGTTTACTTCTAGGATCCGTTCTGTCCATAGTGTCTTGATTACTATAGCTTTATAGAAAGTCTTAAAATGAATTAGTATAAATCCTCCAGCTTCATTCTTTTTCAAAATTGTTTTGGTTAAGCTAGGTCTTTTGTATTTCATATAAATTTTAGAAACAGCTTGTCAATTTCTACAAAAAAGCCTTTTGGGATTTGGATTGTAATTGCATTTAACTGCAGATCAATTTGGAAGAACTGACATCTTAATATTCAGTCTTCTATCCATGAATATGGTACATATCTCCATTTATTTATTTGGTCTTTAATTTCTCTTAGCAATATGCTATAGTCTTCAGAATATATGTCTTCTACATATTTGCTAAATTTTTCCCTAATTGTTCACTGACAGCAAAATAGAACTGAATTCTGTTATGTTGACTTCGTGTCCTGCAATCTTGCTAAACTTATTTACTAGTTTTGGTAGCTTTACTGTCAATTTCTTGGGATTTTCTACATAGATGATTAAGTCATCTGAGAATAAAACTACTCTTTCCAATCTAAATGCCTTTTAAAAAAATAAGTGCTCTTCCTTGTCTTTTATTTCTTCATGCTGACTAATAACTTCAGTTCAATGTTTAAAAGAAGTTGTGAAGAGTCGACCTTCTTCCTTTGCTCCTTATTTTAAGTGGAAAAGTTCAATCTTTCACATTATGTAAGATGTTTCTATCTATATACCTAGTTTAGTGTTTTTTAACTTTTCTTTATCACCCCCCAAAAGAATCTTTTTAGACTTCTTTTTTGGTACTTGTGCTACCCACCACAAGAAATTTGAATACAAGATATACTGTGTATCTGTTTATTTGTACCATTTTATTTTTTTGGTTTCATTTTTCCTCATTCTTTTGAATTAGCTGAAAAATTTTAATAATATGATTTCATTTCCACTTTTGGCTTATTAGCTATTTCTCTTAATTTTTCAGTGCTTGCTCTAGGGTTAGTAGTATCTTAAACTTATCACAGTCTATCTTCAAATACTATACCACTTCACAAATAGTCTAAGATCCTTAACAAAATATTTTCATTTCCCCCTCCTTTCCTTTGTGCCATTAGTACAAATTTTAGTTTTACATACATTATAAACCCCATAATACATCATCACTACTTTTGCTTTAAACAATTACCTTTTCAAAAGATTAAAAATAAGAGAAGAATGAATTAACAAATGTTGGCAAGGATGTGGAGAAAA